ACTGGACCTAATGGTCAGGGGTCCCTTTACCTTTACCTTAAGGAACATGATAAAAACCATTTCAAACCCTTGCCATCAACTGGCATTGTCTGTGTGCATTATTAAAATAAGCAGAGCGCGTGGTTTAAAGGAGGATTGCACCGGGTGCAAGAGTCTCTCTTTCCGACTCAAAGTAAGTTTGTGTGGGAGCGAATCCTGAGTCCGCAGGCAGATGTCAGAAGATTCTGCAGTAGGAGCAGCTGGATCTGCCTGTGGCTTGGATAAATTAAGCTAAGCAGTGTGAATTTCCTCGCTTTGCCTGACTTATTTTCTTTCTGTGAGTCATGGGCAAGCGTTCAGAAATGTGACACTCCCCCCGCCATCTAAAAGTGATGCCCGTCTTATTCTAACACCTCATTTTTTTCAGAATAGCTAAACCAGGTTCAGCATGCCTAGCCCACTGGAACCCAGTGTTTGCCAACCCTGTGCCCTCCAGATGTTGCTTGACTGCAGCTCCCATCAGCCCCCAGCCACCAAGACTGGTCATGGATGGTAGGAATTGTAGTTCAACAATGTCCTTGGACTCCAAATCCCATCACCCCTCAGCCAGCATGGCCAATGACCAGGCATGATGGGAGTTGTAGTCTAGCAACATATGGAGGGCACCGAGTTTTTCATCCCTGCTCCCAAATGTGACAGAACAAGGCGTTTCATTATGGCATTCTGGCATTTCACATATATCATCATCATCACCAATCATCTCACCTTCCACATTCGTCTCAAGTCAGGATCAGCGAATCTGTCAATTCCAGTTTCCCCCAGTTTTGGGTTGTTGTTTTTTTCATTTTTCCAATCCAAGTTCAGTTCTCCACCTTTCCAGATCGGTTTGTGATTTAAACCAAAACCAAATACTATTCCTCATGAAACTACACCAGCATTTTGGTGCAAATTTCTTCGGATATGCTTATTTTTGGATGCACTTTTGTCGAACACACACATTTTTGTGAAGCCGTTTCCCCTTAGATCACACATTTTGTATGGTGCTTTCCAATGCAGTGGAACCTCGGGTTACATACCGTCCTCCTTACGAATGCTTCGGGTAACGAGCTCCGCTAACCCGGAAGTAGATGCTCTTGGTTGCGAACTTTGCCCCAGGATGTGAGTGGAAGTCGTGCGCCAGTGGTGCAGCAGCAGCGGGAGACCCCATCAGCAAAAGCGCACCTCATGTTTAGAACAGTTTTGGGTTAAGAACAGACTTCCGGAATTAATTACCGTATTTTTCGGGGTATAAGACTAAGGGTTTTTTTTAACCAAAAAATTAGGTTTAAAAATTGGGGCTCGTCTTATACACATGCTGAAGGGTATTTTCTTAATTTGGATTCCCCCCAAATAGAGGACGTCTTATACATGGGGGCATCTTATACAGTGGTACCTTGGGTTACATACACTTCAGGTTACAGACTCCGTTAACCCAGAAATAGTACCTCGGGTCAAGAACTGTGCTTCAGAATGAGAAAAGAAATTGTGCTCTGGTGGCGCGGCGGCAGCAGGAGTCCCCATTAGCTAAAGTGGTGCTTCAGGTTAAGAACAGTTTCTGGTTAAGAACGGACCTCCGGAATGAATTAAGTACTTAACCCGAGGTACCATTGTACACGGAAAAATATGGTAAGTTCATAACCGGAGGTACCACTGTATATGCAATTCTACGCATGCTTTAACCTAGCAGATGCCTTTTCATAGACTTGGCTGTTTGTTCGTTGTTAGAAAACCCCTCTCACAGAGTTCCCTGCGAAGAAGGATTGACTCTTAAACCACTCTGGGAGTTGCAGCCCTATGAGAGAGAAATCAGGGGCGTGGGGTTCCCCTAGCAACTCTCAGCACCCCAGCTGAACGACAGCTCCCATAATTCTTTGGGGGAAGCCATGACTGTTTAAAGCAGTATCACAGCGCTTTAAATGTGTGGTGTGAATGTGCCGGCCCATGTATACCTCACAGCCGGAACAGTGTTGTGTTTTGAGGCGCCTGCTCTTATAAACACCATTTCCCATCGTGAGATCCCCTCTGGCCATCCTACTACCGCGTGGCTCCAGCCTAGCCGGGGCCCCTGAACCTTCGCATACCTAGCGTAACAATTAATCCTGCCTGTATCCAAATGTGCAAGGTCTGGGCAGAGAGCTGTCCTCAATGTATCAGTTGGAATTACCCTGGTATTTCCAGCCTTCTGTTACCGCTAATCGCCTTCCCTCGGTAACATCTTGTGTTAGTGCACAACAGGGAGCAGAGTCTAATTGACTTTGTCATTAAGCCCCCAGGATCTCCCACGGTTAGCGGCTTAGCCACAGCCTGGGGACATAAGCTGGATTGTACCTCACCAGGCCTACCTTGAAATAGATTGTGGCCAGGCCTCAGCCAGCCCCACAGCTGAGGCACAATGTCCCCCTTTTTTGGGGTGGGTCAGTGGGGGAAAAAATAAAAGCAGCCCACCCACCCAGAGGAGAAAACAAAGGGAAGTTTTCACCAGGATTTCTCAAAGTGGTCGATAACTGACCCCTTCTGGAGTCGAAAAGGGGTTTATTTATTTCTTTTTGGAAATAATTTGTATTAAAGGTTTCATGAACTACAAAGAATGTGCGATCTCTCTCTCTCTCTTTTCTTTTTAGATCAGATTATAAAGTCTTCTAGTTATGTTCAATGTAAAATGTAAAACAATATGATATCCAAGGAACAGGTTAGAAGGTTGTTGTTTTGCCAATTTGGTAGGTATGTGGGGGTTTTATGTCAGTGTCAATTGTCAGTTGAGTATTTCTATATATTTATTGGTTTACATCAGGGGTCCTCAAACTTTTTCAGCAGGGGGCTAGTCCACTGTCCCTTGGACCTTGTGGGGGACCAGGCTATATTTTGGGCGAAAAAATGAATGAGGGACGATGAGCAGCTCATGAAAGGGCTCTGGAGAGGGGCTGCTTTAAATGGCGGCTGCTCGAGAGGGGCGGCGGTGGCGGCAGAGGGACAATGAGCGGCATGCGAAAGGGCTCCAGAGAGGGGCTGGCACCAACAAAGCCCAGCCCCCTTCCTCCTCTAGGCAGGGCAGGGAGAAGCCAGAAGGAGGGAGGGAGGGAAGAGGAGGTGGAGCCGCCGTGTGAGGGAGAGGAAGGGAGAGGGAAAGAACATGTGCGCTGGCGATCCACGCACTGGCGATTCATGCGGAGATTCCTGGACCTTCCGCGGGCCAGATTTAGAAGGCAATTGAGAGACAATGAGAGAATATTGGGAGGGGGGTGTTTACCTTTGATCAGCTGCAGTGAGATTTGTTTGCATTTGCATTAGGTCAGGTTAGCCATATTGATTTGTATGGTGTTGATAGATTCCTGCTATCATTATTGTCCGTTTGAGCTGTGTGTGTAATAAAAGGGAGCCATACTGGGGCGAAGGTGTCCTCTTTCTTTTGTCCTCGTGTCAGTTTTAGTTTATTTTACTTAACTTTTCTAATAAGGTCATTTCCCATACAATTTGGTCCCAATGGTCCATGTTTACTCCCGACAAGCCTCTCCAGTGCCTAACTATGACATTTCTGGCTGCAGAGAGGAGATAGGTTATAATAAGCTCTTTATGGCGTAGGTGAACATTACTGTCTTGGAAGACATTTAACGGGACCAGTTCTGGGGTGGGTTCCAATACCTGTTTGAAAAGGGGTTTCTGAGGTATGGTGCACAAAATTTAAATCGGGACAAGGGGCATCAAAAATCAAGTGGAACGAGCATGTGCAGAGTGCACTCCTCTTGCCAGTGAGGACCCCTCTGCATTTAATGAGATGATTCCGCAATACAGCAGGATTCTCACACCATGTTGCTTTATTGCTTAAAAAAGAAACCTGCATACAAAGTTTCACTTTGGAACAATTATTTCTTATGGTGTCAGAAGAATAAGTCTCGCACCCTTCTTTCCCTCCTGCAAAGATGCAAACCTATAAAAGCGAGCTTTCACTGAGAAACTTCAGTGAAGTTTTTTTTAAAGGCTTCAAAGCTTTTCAAAGGCGCTAGGCCAGACTTTATTTCGTTTACATTGCAAAGAATCTGGGTTGAGGTCAAAGGCAACTTTAGAAGCTCATTAAGGGGTCAGTGGACGGAGAGGTTTGGGGAACCCTGGTTTAGGCTGCATTTTCCACAAGGGATAGTTCAAAGCACCAGCGATGGGACTCATTGATAGAAGTTAGGAAGGGAGCCTCCCTGGTCAAAGGCAGTATACCTTAGACGGTCAGGAAAAATAGACAAACCAGGATGGTTATCAGCAACGCAGTTGTGCATGTGAGCATCTTCAAGACATTTGGCTGGCTGGTGCTGGAAAAATAAATGATGGTCTGAGCTTGTATAATGATTCCTGGATTTCTGACTCAGCTGTAGGAAGCTTCAGGCTAGCCATTAAAACAGGTGCGGGAAACCTGTTCCGGCATATTTCGCTGGACTACATTTCCTATTTTGAATTATGGTGTTGGAGGAGACTCTTGAGAGTCCCATGGACTGCAAGAAGATCAAACCTCTCCATTCTTAAGGAAATCAGCCCTGAGTGCTCACTGGAAGGACAGATCCTGAAGCTGAGGCTCCAAGACTTTGGCCACCTCATGAGAAGAGAAGACGCCCGGGAAAAGACCCTGATGCTGGGAAAGATGGAGGGCACAAGGAGAAGGGGACGATAGAGGACGAGATGGTGGGACAGTGTTCTCGAGGCTGCGAACATGAGTTTGACCAAACTGCGGGAGGCAGTGGAAGACAGGAATGCCTGGCGTGCTCTGGTCCATGGGGTCACGAAGAGTCAGACACAACTAAACGACTAAACAACAACACCACCACATCTCCTATCAACCTTGACCATTGGCCTTGGCTGGCTGCAGCTGATGGGAATTGGAGTCCAACGACAGCTAGAGGAAGCCATGTTGGCTGTCCTTGTTTTGGCCTACAACTCCCTTCATCCCTGACCCCTGGGCATCCTGTCTAGGGCCTGACGACAGCTGGAGTCTGACTGGTGGCAGTTAGCTCAGCTGGTTAGACCATGGTGCTGAGAACTCCAAGGCTGTGGGTTTGATCCCCATATGGGCCACTTGCATATTCCTGCATTGCAATTTCAGGTTGACCCTCTGGGCCCCTTCCAACTCTCCCATTTTATAATTCTATGATAGGTGGTGCTCCGCCCACTTTGGGCTGCCCACCACCATCAGGTGTCTTGTAAGAGGTTACCCCCTCCCCACAGGGCATTGGAGGCTGGTAGAAAGCATGGAGCCCAACTGTAAGTGGTGCCATAGTCAATGCAGGGGGAGCCAACTTATTCTCCTCTTGTCCCTGTATTTCTCCTCCCTGCTGAGTTCTGCAAGGGGCAACATGGAAACGAAAGAGGAAGCTGTGAGGCAGGGCCACCCCTTTGCACAGGCTGTAAGGAAGGAGGCAGGCAGCTGAGGACAGACTCAGCTTGGTAGGGCAGTGCCCCGTTTTGCCCCAATGGAGCAGCCTCCTCTGAATCAAAGGAATGGGGTCTTCCCTGCCTTAAAGGAGCATCAGTTTTCCTATTGTCATAGCTGTCAACGTTTCCCTTTTCCAAAGGGATTGTATTGCATTGTATTGCATTGTCTTGTACAGTGGTACCTCAGGTTAAGTACTTAATTTGTTCCGGAGGTCCGTTCTTAACCTGAAACTGTTCTTAACCTGAAGTACCACTTTAGCTAATGGGGCCTCCTGCTGCTGTCGGAGCACGATTTCTGTTCTCATCCTGAAGCAAAGTTCTTAATATTTCTGGGTTAGCGGAGTCTGTAACCTGAAGTGTATGTAACCTGAGATACCACTGTATTACCTATCTGTCTGAAAGAACTGCTCCCTCCCTCCTTTACATTCCAGACTCTCCCTCACCTGAGCAGGTGTGCTCTGAGCTAGTTACTAGCTTCCAACCATTGAACGCACTCCCCTCGGTGCTTATTTTAAGCAGCCATCCTCCATCCAATCTTGGAATGCAGGTAAGTGAGCAGCTGACAGAGAGGGGGAAATCTACACACAAAATTTTCAACTACAGGAATGCCAACTTTTGTTCAGAAGTTCACCCGGAGAGAGACTCTTAATCTCAGGGTTGTGAGTTTGAGCCCCACACTGGGCGAAAGATGCCTGCATTGCAGGGGATTTCATTAGGCGACTCTCGGGGTCCCTTCAAATTCAAGTCATGCCAAACGAATCCTTCACCTGACCCCAATATTTTGCTCTTTCATTTTCTGGGACCTTTGCTCAGCATTTGAGCCAGCTGAGGTTGCAAAGGAGCCAGCATCCCCCCCCCCTTTCTCCCCATCCCACCCCCACCCCCTGCTCCATTTTGGCTCTGTGCCTTGGACGGCATTTATGCCTCCCCATTCCCCCCCCCCCAGCCACATGGGAGATGTTTCTCTCATCTCCAGGTTGGCCCCAGACATATTTAGTGTGCTTAATCTTTTACCCGCGAATAATCTCTGTGGCTAAGATCACTCTTGGTATCAAGGCGAGTGTCTGATACGAGGACTCTAATCTGCTAGCCAGCAGGAAGGCACTCAAAGTGATCTAACAGGGATTTTCCTCCCCCCTCCCTCCCCATTCGCCCTCCCCAAAGAGAGGCAACAGAGAAGCATCTCCTGTGGCCTCTGATATCAATGTCTCCAGGTTGGGAAGCGACTGGCCCTAGGGCAGTTGTGCGGAGTCTCAAACCTCAAGGGCCAGACGTGGCCCCCAGGCTCATGGGACCCTCCCCAGACCATTCTCCTTGCCAGACTGGCAGAGTGGGTCCCCCCCCCCTTGCTGAGATGTGTCGTAAAGGTAAAGGGGACCCCTGACCATTAGGTCCAGTCGTAGCCGACTCTGGGGTTGCGGCGCTCATCTCGCTTTATTGGCCAAGGGAGCCGGCGTACAGCTTCCGGGTCATGTGGCCAGCATGACTGAGCCGCTTCTGGCGAACAGAGCAGCGCACAGAAACACCGTTTACCTTCCCACCTATTTATGTGCTTGCACTTTGACGTGCTTTCGAACTGCTAGGATGGCAGGAGCAGGGACTGAACAACAGGAGCTCACCCTGTTGCGGGGATTCGAACCACTGACCTTCTAATCAGCAAGTGCTGGGCTCTGTGGTTTAAGCCACAGCGCCACCCGCATCCCTGATATGTGTCACAGAAGTGTGCTAATGCCTTTTGGAGGATGGAGATGTGTGTGTGTGTGTGTGTGTGTGTGTGTGTGTGTAAAGAAACCTGTGGCTTTTGTGTAGCTCACTGTACAAAGTCAGGGAGCCACATTGCCTCTTGGGTAACTTTCCAGGGGCCACATGCCAGCAGATAGTGCGGCCAAAGCCATGCACAAGCCCACACACACACCATTTCCACACAATGCTGCAGAAGCAAGGTACGCTTTCCTGAAAAGCAGTTATCACCACCATTAGATAGATTCATGGAGGAGATTAGCCTCCTTAGTTTCTATCCTCCCCCTCCCCCATCTTAAATTCGGTTCTCCATATTTCTGCAGCATTTTGTGAGTTTTCATGTTTAAAAAATCCTCATGGAAATCTGTGTGCTTTAAGTGCTTAATAAATCCATTTTTGTACACTGTTTTGGTTAACATGCACATCCCTGTAAGCAATTTCTTCTAATATAACGGATTTTTGTGTGCCATTTTCACCACTATATTTTCACGCACACTTGCCCCTCATAGGCATTTTCGTAAATATTGTTTGGTAGTAAAGTGAGATGAGTGCCGCAACCCCAGAATCGTACGCGACTGGACTTAACTGTCAGGGGTCCTTTACCTTTAGGGGAATTATATAGAGCATTTCAGATAACTGGATTTTGAAGGGTGGCTGTGTTTCGGAATAAGTACACAAGTTTGATAGATTCAGCTTTACATGCAAACTGAAACATTTCCCAATCATTTGCGAGCCCTTAACGGTGGAAATGCAAATAGGGGGGGTGAGGGTACGGACGAGGCTGCACTTTTAAAACGGAAGCTTGCAACTTTGAATTCTATTTTTTGCACCAGTAATATTCCCCCCGAAGGGAGGTGCACCGTTCCTGGAGGTACTGCAATACCAGGTCGATGCATGGAGTGGACGGAGCAAGCCCCTATTCCATCTCCCAGCTCCAAAAATCCATTTAATATATAGTCCTCAAATAGAGGACATATCAGATATTAAACTGATAAAAACAGATACTACACTTGATCTTAGCCAAAAGGCCGAGAAGCGATACCAAACTCAACAAAAGTGAAGCGGGGTTCCTTTCCGGACGGATTTTGAGCTGTCGGAGGGCAACTGGTGTTGCAAAGCGCTCACCGCCCCATTGGACTCAGCACCATTTCCAATTCCACAAAGCAAGCTCTGGCAACGTTTCTGCTTCTGTTGTCCAACTCAGCAGCCTCTTGATGGACAGCTTAATCTCAAAAATAGTGTATTCCATCCACTTTGTCAATTTCTCAGCCGTCTGCCTGGTTGCTCGATGGCCATTGGTGCTAAATCTACATAAACCCGCCCATTCACTCGCCCAGGTGCTGCATAATTTAACTCTCTGCCTGCCAGCAGAGGTCCCAAAAGTTTCCTTTAGATAACTTCCTTCGAGAGCATCCTGCAAAAACACAGCTGTGCACAAGACACATCCGTGCTGACGTTAACTCTAATGCGCGTTAGCAAAGGGGTACCTGCAGGGCAAATGTTTCCTGTAAAACATTGTAATGCTGTAAAGAAATGTAACGGCTGGAGAAAATGTATCTGCGTTCTCATTCCTTTTGTAACTTTGCAACCAGAGTTGATAAATTCGAGCGGGGGGAGCCATGTACATAGCCAGGTTTTATTTTAGATGGGGGCAGGCTTTATGGTGTTTTTTTTTGGGGGGGGGAGAACTGAGTTATCTGTGATGCAACTGGTGAGTTAGTTAAGTATTCTTATTCATTTATTTGCTACACCCATGGAGGGAGCACAGAAGGGGCAAAGTGTATTTCTTAGTGGACAAGCTGTGGGCCACAGGAAGAAAAATAGCAGAATATTTCATGTTAAGATTGCCATCCTAAACAGTGCATCTTCAACTGAAAATACAGCAGTGCTACTTAGGCATCCTTCACCCATACTGCTCCTCAGTGCTTTCCCTTGGAGTGCTCAGACTTCCTCACAACAGTCCCCTGAGGTAGGCTACGCAGAGAGTTGGTGGCTGGGTCAAGATCACCATGAAAGCTTTCTGTTTGAACATAGAGGTACAGTAGACCCTCGAGTTATGTTACTCTTGAGCATTTTTCCGGGTTTTGCCTCTCGTGCGTGTGCAGAAGCAACGCCTCTGGATACAGACTTTTCAGGGTGTGCACGGACCCCCGGAACAAATTAAATTCGTATCCAGAGGGTCCACTTTACCCTCCCAGGATTAGGTCCAACACCGTCGAACCATTACACCACTCTGGCCTTTTAACAGAGGGACAATTTTATTTCTGCGTTGCAGGGGGTTGGACTAGATGACCCTTGGTGTCCTTTCCAGCTTCCAGATGGGCAGGGTATAAATAGTAAATTATTATTATTATTATTATTATTATTATTAAATTCTATGATTCTAATGTAATTCTGCCGTTTTGTTTTTGTAAGATATTAACTAGTCTGAACAGCAAAATAGCTGCTGTTTTAACATTTTGCACCAATATTTTATGTCTCAATATGAGACATATTGATGGCCTCAAAACTATCAGGCAATGTGTAGCCTGCATTTTCTTTCTTTTTTAAAGTTGCTGTCCTACAGCCAGTTGTAAGGCAGCCCTGTTGAAGTTCCCAGAATACGACCCCCTTCTGCCCAAAAGGCACTTATAAAGTGAGTCTTGTGATATCTCAAGACCAACTTACGACGTTAGCTTTCGTGGGCAACAAAAGATACTCCGAGCGTATGGTTTTATGACTCTCACACAAAAACATTGTGACAACCTTGATAAACAAAAGTGAAAACATTCCAAGCATGTGCAGTTTAACATTTTAAACTTACTCTCACTTAGCTCTTCCAAGGGCTCATCCACACCTCCATTTCCCATGGAGAAATCTGTTCTTTACTTCTGAATCAGAGCAAACAGCAGCTGAGTTTTCTGCAGATTGACATTTGTTCTGATTCAGGGGTAAACAGAGGGTTCCCCAGGAGAAAGCCATAATGCTTTCTAGCCATGCCTAGAAAGCAGGGGGAAAGCAGAAACATGGACAAGCCCTCGGTGGGTGTTTTTATCCCAGTTGGCTTTGGTCTTGTTTCTATATATGCAATTTAATTGTTTTTATATAACGTTAGTGTTTTGTATATGTTTTTATTGCATTGTGAAATCACTTTGAGGTGCTTTGAGCAATGCATAAATGGAACAACAACAACAAATGTCACTTTGAAAACAGGATGCTGCTCTTTTGTGGGCGCATCTTCACTAGTAGACCAGACACAAACCTCCCTCATGGACGGGAGCGAGCCAGCAGTAAATCACAATGAGCAAGCTGGGGGTTCCCTATTAGCAAAACAGGATCTGCGCAGGAGTGTCAGGCCCAGTGAGAGCACAGCAGCTCAGAACTTGCCTCCATGAAGCAGTTGCTGAGACTAAAGGTCCCTGTCTCCTACGTCTCCTCCCCTCCAGTGTTATTTCCAAACAACTGGACACTACGCCAGTGTGCCTCTTTTTGCTCTTTCCGCTTCATGCTTCTCCTGGTTCTGGGAGATGCGGGGTGAGAGAGAACTTGTTGCCGCATGAGAGAGAGACACCTGTGCCCCTTCACAAGCCTGATCCATCTCTGCCTCTTGGCCTCCCTCCTCTCCAGCCTCTGCTTCTGCCTCTGATTCTTAACTGCTCTCTGCCACAGCCTCTTCCTGCTCACTAAACCCTGTTGCCTCTTCAGCTTCCCACACCTCCTCCTCCCAGTCTTTTCCCTCTTCTCCCACTGACCACGCCTTGTCAACCCACCACCACTCCCTGAGCCTTCTTCCTCTGGGGGTTCCCCATCTGGTTCTTCTAACCATTCCTCTGCGTCCAAACAGTCCACGACACTGATCTAGATGCTTGCTGTTTTCCTGCCTCGCAGGGTTGTTATAAGAATTTTAAGGTCTTAGATATATAATAAATGTTCATAAATGTACCAAGCAAACATGTACATAAATATATAAACCACATGTCTGGAGCAGCACAGGAATACAGTCCTGAAACCATTTTGACTCCCAAACTGACCAAATGTTTCTCTGTAAGGAGGGAGAGGGAACCTTCCCATTGTCTCAGGAATTAAGTGATTACCATCTCAAAGGAATGGCCAGACTACCAGGAAAGGCAATCAGATAAGGCATTCTCAGATAACCTGGCAGACAGAAGATAAACAAAGCACTCAGATTTCTGTTGTACACCACCTTTTCTATGATGTAGGTATGATGTATCTGGGGGTGGTCTTGGACTACACGCCTTCTGTGATGTATGTATGTATGTTTCTGGGGGTGGTCTTGAGCTCCAAGGCAGGGAATTTCAAAATGTCTGTATAAAGGGAGGCACACCTTTGTTCTGGGTCCTCCTCCGCTCTCCTGTGTGTGAAGGGAGCACCCTGTTGCAACAGCATTAATAAAGATCAGGCTTACTAGCTGCTTTGCTTCTCAATATACTCTGGTTGGCCTCTGTTATTTTCTCCTACCGATGGAGAACCTACAAAGGACTCTATAAGGGCTCTTGTGTACCCCATAAGGGAACGAGACCAGATTTTGTTTACAACAGGGTGAATTTCAGAGCCGGTAAAACCTGTACAGTTGTTAGAATCACAGTATTTTCTGGTTCAAGTTTGCTCAACAGGCAGAAATCCACCAGGGCTGGTAGCCTTTCTCAGGCTGGAAAAAAAAGAGCATGAAAGGCTGTTTAATTCCTCTGGGCCCAGTCGAATGTCGTCCATGTCTCCAGATTAAAAGTCTAAAAAACATTCGACTTTTAATTCCTAATCAAGGGTTAAAACATAAAACAGTTTATTGGGGAATGGAGAACTGGAAATGTGGAATGGACTATCCTAGGAAAGGGCGTGGCTGGCTGGCAGGCACCCTGAACAGGGATGCTCCACTTGTCTTCTGCATTGTACACAGAATAAAATCGCAGCAGGCAGCCAGCAATGTAAAAAGAGGAACATCATTGGAAGGCTCGTTGCTCCCCCCTTGCGGCAGAAACCTGTATCTGCATCTTACAAATTCTGAGAGTGAAACGCTGGCTATTTTTGGATGGGATTCGATCACACATTGGCAAAGGCAGGTCGCACAATGAAAGCTGATTAGGAGGCCGTGCAGAACTAACCCGCTTCACCCCTTGAGACTGGACTTTTTGATTAAAATGAACACGCGGTATAATGACAAACAATGGAACCAGGGAAGGGAATGGGGGGAAGTCAACTCTTTTTATTTTTATTTTTTGAATACGTATTGTTGTTTTTATTTTTTGTTGTTTTTTGGAAAATTAATAAAATAATTTTATTTTATTTTTTAAAAGAGATTGGGCTTTTTGTGAAAAGGGAACTGGCAGCAAAAAGCCCCGGAAAGTATGGGATAAGACTGTGGTTTTGAAGCAACAGCCTGGATAGCTCAGTTGGTTAGACTAGAGTGTGGTGCTGATAACGCCAAGGTTGCAGGTTCAATTCCTGTATGTTGCAGGGGGGTTGGACTAGATGATCGCCGGGGTCCCTTCCAACTCATCATCTAACCTCTTTGCCAACAAATCAGAATATGTGCTCAGTAAACCTCCCGGCAACTCCATGCAAACAAATCAAGCGGTTTGTTTATGGCCCAAGCATCATGTTTCTTTTCTTTTAAAATGTTTTTTTAAGGGTTTCTTTTAAGACACCCCTCTAATCATTCCACTGTGTACAGCATCAAGACACCAGTCAACAGATTTTAAAAACAACACAAAATGCCACAGCAAACAGGGGAGGCATATAGCATGCAAAACTCCTGAGAGAAGCTAGTCAGGAGTTTTGGAACTTCTGGTAGTTCCACCCCTCAGACCCCACAACCCATACAGTATATCTCCTTGCTGTAATGGAATCTGGACATCACCAAAGTACAAATTAATGATGCTCAGCATTCTGGGAGTTTTGAGAGTTTGTGCTTCACTTTTCATCAGGCCTCCTCTCTCTTTTCACTGTATCCCATTGCACATTCTGCCCACTATTAAATGCACATTTTAGAGCAGCTGGTTCATTGGGGAGAAGGCAGCACTGCTCCACCAACCTCTGCTTTCTCTCAGCCAGATCCTCGGTAGCTTGCCTTCTTGCTTACAACCACGTGTGTGTGTGTGTGTGCGTGTGTGTGCGCGCGTGCAATCTTCCTCCTCCTTAAAGGTAAAGGGACCCCTGACCATAAGGTCCAGTTGTGGCCGACTCTGGGGTTGCGGCGCTCATCTCACTTTACTGGCCGAGGGAGCCGGTGTACATGTGGCCAGCATGACTAAGCCGCTTCTGGCGAACCAGAGCAGCGCATGGAAATGCCGTTTACCTTCCCGCCAGAGCGGTACCTATTTATCTACTTGCACTTTGACGTGCTTTTGAACTGATAGGTTGGCAGGAGCAGGGAGAGAGCAATGGGAGCTCATTCGAACCACCGACCTTCTGATCGGCAAGCCCTAGGCTCTGTGGTTTAACCCACAGCGCCACCCGCGTCCCTTCCTCTTCCTTAGTGTTGCCTTTGTTGGCTGGTGCTCATTGGGGACTGGTTGGGCAGAAGGCAGGGAGCCCAACAGTAGATGGCGCCAGAGCTAATAACAGGCAGAGCCAACTCACTCTAGTTTTGTCTCCATCCTTCTCCTCCTCCCTGCTGATTTGTACAACCCTGAGACTGAGGAGGAAGCTGGCAGGCAGGTCCACCCCCTGGACTGGATGTAGGTAAGCAGGCAAGCAGGCGGGGTGTTTCAGAGGGCAAAGTGACGTTAGTGGGGCAGTGCCCCCATTTGCCCTAATGGACACTGCTTCCTAAGGGACATTTGGCCTCCCAGATCCCAAGCAGCTGTGCTCTCTTCAGTTCCAGGAGGGTTGATCTATCTCTTTGCGTCTTTCTTTCTTTCTCCCAAAGCCTGGGGCTGCCCAGAGGATGTCCTGTCCATTGCAGGAGCATCTAGAGATAATTCAGCTGGACCCATCCCTTCTCTCCTTGTGAACCCAGCTCCTGCGGGTGACATAGCACAGCTGTGTTAGGCTGGCGTACATCTGGGGATGAATCACTGGGAATTTAGGCTCTTCTGAAGTTGACCCAGATCGAGAGTTGGGGGGGGGGTTGGAGGAGAAGAGTTCAGGGTGGTTTCCCCTCTCATTTTTTCCTGCTGATTTCTACATGAACGATTGGGAAATTGGTGTGTGTGTGTGTGTGTTTGGGGTGGGGGGTGGGGGGAAAGAGCAACAAAAGCCAGACTGCATTTTTGGACCCACTGCCAGCCCTCCGTCCACCCGCAACATTGCTCTTGTGGAAAGTTGGAGCTCAGCTCTATTTACAGTCCTGATTGCTTCCAGATGGGAGCCCAAACCTGTGTCAGCAAAAAAATAAAATAAAAAGTAGGGAAAAGAAAAGGAGAGGGGGAGGGCAGAGGAGTGTCAAAAACCCAGTTGGTCTGGAAAGAGGAGACTCTAACAATGGGGAGAAAATTAGGCCATTCTCTGCCAGAGCAACAGAGACATATAAAGAGGAACGATGATAGGAGGTGGGAAATGGAAGATACGCTCCAGCGAAAGTGGAGAGACAGGCTTTGTTCTTGGGAGATTGCGGGTTGGAGGGGGGAGAACCACAGAGCCTGACCCCAGGAGGGTAATTCAGAATCAAAAATTGGCACGGGAATAATTCTGGTGCTCAAAATGGAAAAGCCCCAAATGGCATCCCATCTACCACTGACAAACACAGGATGCAACTAAGGTAAAGGGACCCCTGACCATTAGGTCCAGTCGTGGCCGACTCTGGGGTTGTGGTGCTCATCTTGCTTTATTGGCCGAGGGAGCCGGCGTACAGCTTCCGGGTCATGTGGCCAGCATGACTAAGCCGCTTCTGGCGAACCAGAGCAGCGCACAGAAATGCCGTTTACCTTCCCGCCGGAGCAGTACCTATTTATCTACTTGCACTTTGATGTGCTTTCAAACTGCTAGGTTGGCAGGAGCAGGGACCGAGCAACAGGAGCTCACCCCGTCGCGGGGATTCGAACCACCGACCTTCTGATTAGCAAGTCCTAGGCTCTGTGGTTTAACCCACAGCGCCACCTGCGTCCCTAGGATGCAACTAGGGATGGGCAAATTTGCTGTTTTTGGTTCTGTAGCCTTCTAGTCTTGCTTGTAGTGTAGTGGCAAACTGAGAGGTGCAGGGTCCTTTTATGGTAGTCACAGCCACGCCCTCCCCCTCACAGCCACACAGCTGCACCCCCTTATAAGATTATACAATAAGCTTAGACAATAATAATACTTAGCAAGGCATTGCAACCATCAGCGCAGAACTCCATTGGTTGCCTTTCGGTGAGACCTACCATTTTCTGTGCATGTACATGGGCAAATGATTTGGAGTGCTCCAATATATTTATTTCAGAGTGACTTAAATTGTGTTTCCATTGTACGTAACAGAGCTTTCATGCTGCACTCTTGATGCTGAAGCACCTTGAGATTTCAGTGTTCCGAAATGCTTCGCTTTGGAGCGGACAGAACAATAGCTCCTTGCTGTTGTTTCTGCCCACCTTCTCCAGAATGACCCTGGGAGCCGGTCCTCAGTGGCCAATTCATCCTTTTCACTCTGCTTGACTCCAATCAGGGCAAAGGATGGAAAGATCTGCTCAGTGGCTTAAAAGCCCCCATTTCATGCTGACCAGGTGGCTCTAGGACAGAGGTTGGCAAGTTTTACCTTGCCTGGGCCGGTTCACTCCAGCGGAGATCCCTCCGTGGGCTGGATTGCGTGTGTGGGGGAGCAAGCGTGCCTGCGATTTCCAGTGTCTATGTCTGCGCAGACGCGATTTCCGGTGCTGCGGAAGTGAGTCCCTGCACCGTGCTGGTTTAGCGCAGCATGCGGGGACTTGCCGAGCGGGTAGCTTGGTTCAGGGGCGGCTCATTGGCCGCTTAAACGACCCCTGTGGGCCGCTTGTGGCCCATGGGCCTTAGGTTGCCGACCCCTGCTCTAGGATGCTGGAGGCAAGGACCCTGCTGCAGAAATAGTAAATGGGTCTTTGACCTCCTGCAACCCCAGACTACTACACCTATGCATTATGCAAATGTTAAATTCACTTCTCCACATTTCCACAGCCATTTGTGATTATATTTTGCTTTAGGCAAAAATCCTAATGAGAATTCATCAGCAATTTTAGCGCAAGTTTGTCCAAATAAACGTATTTCTGTATGCAGTCCCGACTAATACTAACAACTTGGCAAGTGGCTTTCCTAAATGTTATTTTCACTAATATATGTGAATATATGCACACTTACTCCGAACAGATTCATTTTTCGACGCGTTGTTGGGCTGGGGAAATGTCGTGCAAAATACAGAGAAGTGCAAATATCAAAGAACAGCTGCATTTTGGATCGTGAGTTGGTCAGAGAAGTGCAAATGAATGAAAATGCATACAAAATTGAATTTCTCCTGCATCCCTAGACGCAATCCAAGGGGCAAATGGTAGGGAACAGGTGGCCATCCAATTCAGACGGCCTGCAGTGTGTTTGTAAAAATACAGGTGAAAATAATAGAACTGGGATAGCTCAGCTGGCAGACCATGAGACTCTTAATCTAAGGGATGTGGGTTTGAGCCCCATGTTGGGCAAAAGATTCTTGCATTGCAAGGGGTTGGGCGAGAAGACCTTTGTGGTCCCTTCCAACTCTACAATTCTGTGATCTTGCACAGTACATGACAATTGCTACAACAGGTAGGGAGAGTTATTAAGTGCTCCACCACCAGCAATTTCTAAGTGGTCCATGGGTGGAAAAGAGAACCACCATCCTATATGGGTTGATGCTATTGTTGTTGTTGTTGAAACGGGATTTGAACTTCCTGCAGAGGACATTCAACGTCCTAGAGGACAAAGTGTTCCAGAGCCCTGTGCACTTTTGTATGTTTGTGTGTGTGATGTGTCCTCTCCCAGAGACCTTCATATCTCCCTCTCCATAATCTGATCTGACCTCTTCAAATTGTGCCCTCTCCTCAGCTATGCTGGGCCTTTCCAAGTTATTTCTCTCTCTCTCTCCTAATTTATATCCAAGTGTTACCTGCCAATACATTCCGGTTAGGAGTTCAGCACCCCGGGTGTTTGGCAGTGGCTGAGATGCGCAGTGCACAGCGCCGAGTTTGCTACTCTGCCTGCTTCAACAGAGGAGATCGGGTGTTAGATTACAGCCTCTTCCCCCATCTCTCCATTCCTATAAAGAAAATAAAAAAAGTAACAGGCTATTAAGGTACAGAAGGTGAGGTGCTGCACAAATGGAGAGCGACAGAATAAAATAAAATTCAGGGAAGACCAGTCCCAGTGTTATTGGGAAAATGGTGTGCTAGCCAGCTCAAATGCTGTCACCAGGAAGGACCTAACATCTGGGGAGAGATGGGGCAAAACTGTCCGTCTGGATTTCTTTCTCATTTTTCCAACCCCTAAATTCAGTTCACCAGCACTTTCACATCAGTTTGCAATTAAAAAGCAACAACAAACTGATG